CTGTCGAGGGCTGCAGCAGAATGAGACCTCCAATCATCTCGATCCCCATGCCATTAGATCAAGGCTTCTGGGGAGTGGCAGCTGGGGGTGCAGCAACCTCAGCACATGAAAAGGGGTCATTCGCAAGCATCTTCCAATACCTGTACAGCTCATCTCAGCACAAGCAGGAATAAACTGTCTGGTTAATTTATCTGAGGATTCTGACCCAGCAGGTTCTTGAATGAAACCTTGACATCAGCTTGAATACGATGGCTGGGTACCTTATTCCAAACTTATACGACCCTTTGTGCAAAGAAGTTCCTCCTATTCTCAGTCTTAGGTGTGCATTCCCTAGCTTTCACAAGAGTAACATTCTTCACAAAAAGTAAATTGGGAGATGCAGCAAGCACCCCGGCATCTTTCATGCACAATTCCTTGCATTATGATTACACTCCACCAAGATAAAACTTTTATGTGTTGTCAACACTGGACGCTACAAAGGGAATAATGAAAAAAATCAGACCCTGCCTTCTCCAGTCCTGTTCTGCTCTGGCAAACAGAAGGAGATATAAGTTTAGAAAACACACAGCTTTCTTATCTGAGACTCAAGCCATTATGGTCTGTCTTTATCTACAGAGTGGCAACTATGAAAATAAAAATTCCTGTAGCTGTAACAAAGTCCTGTGTGTGACAAGTCTAAAACCATTTCCTTTGCCCTTTTCATGGCTTGAAGTACATCATGACCTTTCAGAATTATCAAATGAACACTGAAAATGAAATGCTGAAAACAAAACAAAAAAAGAACCAGCAAAACACTCAGCATAAATACTTTCATTTACTCATGTTTTAGAAGCCACAAGAAATAACTACACACAGTGGCTTACATACAATAACTGAGACCATTTTAATCTTTGAAAAATGGGAAAGGACACTGCTGGGTTTTATGTCACTTCAAGACAAACAGGTGTTCAATATTTGCTCCTCATAAATACAGACCTTGATCTAAATGCTTTTTCTGAAGAGCAGAATGCTATTCTTTTGTGCACTATAATAAGTGCTGTTTCCATCTTTTATCTTCTGTGGGGAGGGCTGGAAAGTCTTCATGACAAACTACAGTGTCAACATTGTCGTCATGCCACTGGAGCCAACTGGCAGGCTTCTCAGTCCGGAAGTGGCACACTAATTTATATACAGCTAATCCACACCAAAGCTTAATCTTAAGGGCTCGTCTGCCGCAGACAAACGCTAATGAAGAAATCAAATTAAAACTGCTTCAGAGGATAAAGGGCAAAACGTGTGACTTTGATCAATTATTGTTTCCTCCCTCCACACCCGCTCAGCAAAGGAAGAAAACCGTCTGAGCACGAAAAGGAATCAGCTCAGTCAACCTACAGGGATTCCGTACAGCAGGTCAGCATCATAAGCTGGTATTAAGGTCCAGTGCCAAAGGAGGAACCCGGTTAGCAGGATGGAAGACTGGTCTTGTGATTTAAACAATCACGAGACAAAGCGTTTGATAGCCATGCAAATGTAGCAAGTTCTAAAGATAACTCTCATTCCACGTAAAGCCACTGAATTCATTCTAAACAGCAATCTCCGAATTCTGACTGCAAAATATGGGCTCAGGTACAGTCACATCTCACATCTACGCTGGCATTGCTCTGATGGCCTAATTGCACTGATAAACATTTACAACAATTTTTATGCTGATGTTCAAATTCAATCTAAGATAATCCGTCAAACTCAGAACCTGCAGGCATTAGTTGAATAAAGGGAAGAGAGGACTGTCAAACTAAGAACTAACAAAACGAGAAAGAGTTAAGCTAGGAAGTCAAGCGTTTTATAGAAAACCACTTTAAGATGTAAATACTCAGGATGGACAGATGTCATCAGGAGGGATTCATTCATCAATTACAATTGCTCTTCCTAACAGTTTATCAAGGATCTAGATTCTGATACAGACATCTATAATGAAATTAATGATACCGGAACATGAGAACTAGCAAAAACTGTAAGAACACGAGGCAACTCTTTATGCAAACTTTTGTGGGAGCCTCAAACAAGCTGGTGTCCCTGACACGTTTTCCAAGCTGACACCCAGGCTTCTATTAAGAAAGGACTGAGCCCCTCTAACCACTTACCTATTAACGAGCAAATGAGCCATACATGACTAACAGCCTTCTCTCGTTTGCAACCTTTCTAATTTCATCTTACAATTACGTTTTTACTGAAAAGCTACTTTGCTTCTTCAGATAAGCAAAATTTCATTTTTTATGCTGTGACACTGCTATTACCCATTTTAATCATTTCTGAGGAATACATTGTATTTAAACAAAAAAAAGTATTCAAACACAGAGCTCAGACACAGCACTTAAAACTGACTATTCACACAAGACTTTGGAGATCTGCAAGCCTTCTGTATCTCAATCCTGAATGAAAAAAGACTAGTCTAGCTCTTATCTGTGGAATCAGCACTATTCGGCAGCATGTAGACTATACAATATCCATCACAGATGTGAAATTACTTTGAACTGAATCCAGGGGATGAAGAAAAAGACAAATAGATAAGCCCAATGGATAATGAGCCAGTCTCACATACAGTACACTCATCCATGCAAATAGGCAAAACTTTGGTTAAATTAGACAATTTCTAAAATTCCAAGAGTAATTTAATTCGCTTTCAGGACCAATTTCAATAGCAGACAAGAATCTCATGAAACACACATTCTCTGCTGAAAACAATTACTTTCCATATTAAGGACAAATATGATATAAATGAAACCCTTGAAGGTTTTCAGATGCATTTGTCTACATTAAGGCTAACGTGTCAATCTTTTTAAGCAAAACGACACATTTATGTCTTCACATTTATAACTGGAAAGGAGATAAAGAGAACTAGCATTTACAGTTCACAACAGTGGTGATATCAGAATATGTGCAAGCAGGCTCAGGGGTGTACAGTCTATTTTTCTGCTTCCACTATATACAGATTGCATTAGCCACCACAACACCCTTCGTCAGCATTTGGCACACCTATACTATGACATGCGACTCCAAGTAAATGAGGCAGGACTAAGCTCTTGGTTATTTTATTTCATGGTAATTCAATTCTAGAGGCATACACGAAGTCTATAATGTCCAGATGACGCATGTTCTATAGTGACCTCATTGCCTAGTGTATCATGCAGATGGCAATGTCTCTAGGCAGCACCACATAAATATCACAACCACTCATCTTCAAAAGATTAAACAGATCAGAGCATGATGGCTCTGGTCAAACACAAATTCTTGTCACTTTTAGCTTTTTGTTTTTCTCCTTTTGTCTGCTGTCTGGTTCATGGGGGAAACAAAATACCAGTCAAAAACGAGACATGTTTGGCAGAAATCACTTTGGGAGTATTTCTCATCTTGGGAAGCAAACATCTCAGTGGATATTTCAAATTCAGCCAGCATTGAACATGGACATTGTGGTGACAGAAGGACAAGTTTAAAAAGTGCTGGAGCTTTTCCCCTGGTATTGGATACAGGAAGATTGTTTCAATAATCCCGTTATCTAGAAGCATGACCGTGTATGTGTGAATGTATGCTTTCATACTGCTGGCATCATGTTACATTAATAAATATAATTTTCAATGCCAAGACAACCAGGAAACCAGCTGAAGCTTTGAACCAGTACTTTGATGCAGAGACCAGCCTTATAATTTAAAATAATTTGCAAGTATTTTTTTATTATACTCTTAATATAGTACTTTTTTTCCTTTTATACTTATTTTAATCATAAGAAACCAGAAATGAATTAAAAGGGATGAGATGTGCATAAAAGTTGTTTGTTTTTTTTTTAAACTGACAAATTCTGTCCTTGACATTTTATGTTTTACCCTTTGAAAACGTTTTAAGTCCACCAAACGTTTCAAAATGAACTGGCCAGAATTCCAAACTTCTTACTGCTCATGTTACAGATTACAGTGAGATCACATCAATCCTTCCTCTTCGTTTCACCAGGCCTCATCACATTGACTATGTACTTTTATATAACAGCTGATGGAAGCAGTGGTACAGTGTATCCCTTTGAAGGGCATTATCAATATCCCAAGCACACATCACAAAGTCTTCAGCCCACCCCCATCTTCTCCCTGCTGGAAAGGATGTTAGGATATGACTCAGTAAGGAAAGGCCCTAGTTTTGTGCTTTCACCCCCACTCAAATGATGCAGCACAGGCAGACCTGTCACAGTGTTTCAAAACAAAGTGCCTTTCAAAACTAACCTTTAAAAAAATAAAAGGGAAGTTGATCTTGGTACTCCCAGTTTGCCAAAATGCTACAGTATCTAAACATTTTAATGAAAGATACAAATATAAATAAAAACGGCAATTCTTTTTCAATCACACGTAGAAATGTTTCAAGCTCACTGTAGACCTTCTAACAGGAAGTGAAAATGTTAACATCGATGAAAAAACAATTCACAAGTACCTTGCAATCTTTTGCATTGTTTTTCAGCACGAAATGTCAGACAGGGCAGTTAAAAAAGCTATTTTGTAACACCTATTAAACTAAAGTCACAAAGCTACTTTGCCATTCTAAATGCAATACACACCATTACTCAGTATGACCAGAAAATTGTAGTGGCTGTCTTTATTTAATACAACGGATAAAAGTTTATGATATTCAAAGTTTGCTTTCTGCGATTAAATGTACTACACATGCCTAGTGACTTCCTAAGCACCCTGCTTCAAAAATCAGACACAATAGCATGGAACAATGAAAGCCCTCCACAGGGTTCTCCAATAAAGCCGATACAAACACGCCCGAGATAAACCAACAAAAATGAGCCTCAGTAAATACAGAGCTAAGTCACATTAGCACATGCAAACAGCCAGCAACCTTGCAAAATAATACCTATAACCCCGAATAAGAACAAATACACAATGAAGTAATAAAGACTTAGTAGACTTTAGAATCCAATAAATAGCAGGGTACCATTGCAAAGCATCGATTACAATAAGGTAGCCAGGTGTACTCACCAGGTCGTGGTTAGTTGAATTGGAGTCATCTTCGGGGAAGGGAATGTAAACAGCTAAGGCCACACAGTTGGCAAAAATAGAGAGTAATATAAAGATATCAAATGGCCTGTGCATTGGGTTAAGAAAACAATCTTAGGAGTGATGTAAAATAAGACCATAAAGCATTAGAATATAAAGCTTGCAAACTAAAGGCGAGCATTTCAAAGATTTTATAAAACAGTTGTCAGAAACTTTACTTGCATATTATTAGCCAAGTACAAAAGGAATCTGGTTAATCATTATTAATCATTTACCAGAATGTGGAACAGTTCATGAATAAACTGTGGCACCATTTCTTGTATCCAGTATGCTGTCTACATGGTCTTCAGGTGACATTCACCTGCTTTTTGGTGCATCCATGCACTTGCAACGCTCTCAATCTCGCCTCAGTTACCCTCAGAACTAGTTCCATCAGTTATCCCAAGCATCATCTAGAATCAATGTTATATCCAGTCTAAAGTCATAGAGAGACGAGGTGGGCATTGTATTTAAAACTACTTTCTATACCCAATGTACTCTGTAGAGTAGCAATTCCCTACGACTTCTGTATCCTTTGGCAAGTATCACTGTAAACTATGTGCATTGGTGGAACTTGTGAACCAAAATAATTAATTCTGCCTCATCCTTACCATCTAGCGATTTCGCCTACAGGATATTCCATCCTTGTGAGCTCAGAAGATTTCGAAATTAGTTTATTTTATCCTACGATTATGTTTCATTTGTTTCTCGTAATCCACAAACATGAGAAGTAAACCACTACTGTTCAATTAAAACCGCTGGACAGTGTTTCATATTCCAGTTGACAATTAAGTGCCTTGCTTGCTGTTGAAAAGCTGGACATATAATGTTGATTTTTTTGAGGATTGGTACACTGAAGATCGTGAGACTGCCTGGTGAAGAAAGTTCCCCTAAACATCTTCCATATGTGCATTTTATTCAGCTAACCTACAGCAGTTCCAGAGTGCAAGTTTCAAATGCTATCAAGGTGGCAGGATGCTATGATCTGACCCAGTAAAGGTCGTCCATTCCTACAGGGAAGGTCTATCGCCATCAGAATTGAAGAGGAATGGAGACACACAGGGAGAAGAGGTCAAAGTGCTTTAACACTTGGGGATTGCCAAGGTTTTATATAATGTCATGCAATTATTAAATGAGAACTGTACATTGATGCTTTGCCACCTTGAGCTGGAAATGTTCCTATACAGCATAACTGACCTTCAGATCTCCTGTATCAGCCAGGGCCTATTACGCAACTACAAAATTCTGATTTGCAGAATTTCTCTTTCAAACTTCAAATGGGAAAAACACAGTTAAGTTATAACCACAAGCAGACAGTAAGCCCTTCCTTTCCAAACCTCAACAAATGACAGGGAAAATTCCAACCAAACAGTAAATCCAGAGACCACGAAACCAAACAAGAAAAGCAGCATGAACAGCAGCTTCTGAGCCATCTGCAGTTTCCTTACATGCCGTTTCCCCAGAACTATCTGCGGAATTCCCATTTCCCGCTCTTGGAACCTTTCATTAACAAACACCTTCATGCACGCGGCAGGTAAACCTTTCCCGGGACCCAAACCAACTAAATGAAAGACAATGGGAGAGTTTAAAAAAGGATACTTCCACTCTACGAGGCTAATGCAGGCTCTCCTGATGGGGTTGTTGAGATTTAAACAGAACAGGGCACGGGGTGGTCTGCTGTTAGCAGAGCTGCCCTGTTTCTTGCTTTTGGCATATTGCTGCCGTTTTCTTTGGGATAGAGATCCGACAGGTACTGTGGTGTTGGTGCTCATGGTTTGTGCAGCCTTGGCCTGTCTAGCAGCATCGATCGCAGCGTGCCAGGAGAGAGCAGTTGGCTTGGGTGGTGTGGGGTTGTTCGACTGAAGGACTGGTACGTCACCAGGGAGAGGTACTCTGGTGCTGCTGGCATAATTTGCCCCTGTAAAAGCAAAACAAAAAAAGAAAATCAATACACTACAGCACAAAGCATCACAACTCCTTTGAGTTCTGAACCGCGAGACTGCGCACTAATTGAGACACACCTGAAAACAATGCACCAATTAAAATAAACTTTAAGGCAATAATCTAATTTTACTATTGACACATTATCATCCGAATCCATTGCTTTTCAGGAACATCCATGGGCTTAAAACCTTAAAGACCGTGTCCTTTAAAACATATTTGCACAGACCTACAATGATTTCAAAAGACAGTTTTTTTCTTAAATCATCTTGCAAGCGTATATAGTGTACTTCAATTCCCAGTGTTTCAGACTGGAGAATACACCGCATTAAATAACTGTCTCAAAAAAACATTTTACCTTTTATGTCATTAAAGCAGTAGAAAGAAATGATACGGTGTCTTTCAACCACAAAAAAAAACTTGATAAGACAAAATATAAGACTGGAGTCTAACAAAGCTGCAACAGCACAAACAGATGCATTTCTCTCTTTCCCCTTTTACCTACAAAAAGTAGACCCAAGCTAAGGTGTATTTGTGTTTTACACCTCCACATGAACATCACCATATGCTGGGCTGTAATTCAACATGCAGTCTAATTCACCTCCTAATGTTTTTGAATTAGATGGAAATGTTCATTCCATCCCATTAAAGCTAAAAACTTCACCCAATGAATAGATTTATTAAATTTCACCTCATGCATACATTGAATCTTTTCAAGAGCAATAATCTTCTATCTTCACTGATGTCTGATTAATAAGTATTTAATTAGTATGTACCATCTCTGAAGAAAATTCATCTCAAAGTGCTTTAAGTATAAGAAAAGATCAGCAGGTCTGTACATACAGTACTGTACAGAATAAGTAACAATATGTAATAAATTCTAAGCAACAGAGTACTTTATGGACAGATTAACACAAATGAAGGGGTCTCTGCCCAGATAATCACTGGACAGCTTCTGAAAGCGACTGATGAATAGGTCTCGAACTGAAAACAAATAAAATACTGATGGTTTTTCCTTTTACCTACAGTAGGTCCAGAATGAATAAGAGCTAGTTCTGCACCTCACACCTTTCACAGTCTGAAGTAGGCAATGGGATCAGCCAGGTCTACAGGCAGTGATTCCTGCCACTCACACATACACTGTACTACTACATGAGCCACTGTGATAATGATAATAATGATAATGTTTCTTTATTAGCCCTACACTACATTAGGAATGCGTCTTTTCGCATACCCCAGCTTTTCTCCATGGAGACACAGACACAGAGACAGGGAGAGAAGCTTGGGGTCAGAGCGCAGGGTCTGCCATTTATACGGCGTCCCTGGAGCACCTGGGGTTAAGGGCCTTGCTCAGGGGACCAACGGAGTAGGATTCCTCTGCCGGCCGCGGGATTTGAACCGGCAACCTTCCAGTCACAGGCGCAGATCCTTAGCCACAGAGCCACCGAGCCACCGCTCCGCCCTTGTGCTCTCTGAATGTACCAGTTGAGGTTAAATCTATAAAAACCTTTCAAAATCCGTAAAGGAATGGACGAAGTCGACCCAATGGACTTAATAAGCAGTGTAACACCAACCAAAGACACAGGAAGCTATAGGGAAATGCATTTAAATTTAAATAGATGAAGAGTCTGGAACGAGCTACTAATCCATGTGATCAAAGTCAATAGCTCAGCTTCATTAAAAAAAAATCAAGTAAAATGGGCCGAAAAGCCTGCTCTTTATTCTTGCCTCTTTATACACGTTTTACCCAGAAGCAAAAAAAAAAGTCATGTTTGCTTCTGTGCTTTTCTTATTTTACGGCTTGAAAATAAATTTACATGGAGTTTTCAGCTTGCTTTATTTTTTGAGTCGATTTAACGCATTTAGTTCATTCGAAGCTCTCCCCACCCAGGGTAAACCTACTGTATGCTTGTGTTTTACTGCAGCTTCCCTTTTCTGTCAAAACAGCATCAAATCTAGCCAATCCTATTATCCAGATATACTGTACTGTATCTCATGCTTTCACACAGGCACAAAGCCTGTAGTAGGTGTTGTTGGAAGGGATGCGGCAATCAAAATACCAACGATGTACTAAAAGAGAAGAATAAACGAGCTAACGTTCTTGCTCATAAATCTACCCCAGGATTATTAACGTTTTTTTTTTTCTGTAAAACTGATCTAAACTAAATGGGGGAAATTGTTAAGCTCTTCTAGTTTAGTCAAGGATAAACACTGCGTAACGCAATCAAAACCCATCATCAAAAAAAAACAGTAACAGGACAGGTGGTTGGCGTTTTAAAGTGTCTTCTGCTAAAGCAGGCTCTTCTGAACTTTTTGTAAAATGCCAGCAATTTAGTCACCGCTACGGTAGAAACCTAAACAACTACATTAACATCGCCTGTTTTCTTTCAGCAGCGCAAAATAATGTGAGGCGTTTGGGAGGCATACAACGAAAACAGACGGTCAAAGGGACTGAGAGTATCACCTTTAAGGAAAAACAAAAAATAAATGTACATACGGTGTCGATATTAGTTATCACCCTGAGAAACAAAAACTAACCAATGTAACGTCTATACACATCATACAGACTTTACAAAGCCATCACATTGTTAGACATGTTGAATTATAGGCACCGTCTTTGTAAATATTTCCATTTTAAACAGAAAACATCATCAAACGCCTTAAAAAGATCAACGCAGATGACATCCAATCCCATGCCAATAACACCCGGCTAAACTGCGTGAATTCAAAGCTGTCACTATAATACATCACTTGGTCAAATCAGTTGTGTAAGTCCTTGAACTGTTAGGCCCCGGAGAGAGAAAACAGAAATAAGAAACAAAGGGTCCTTTAGCCTAGAACTTTCTAACAATCTCATTTCTGCATTGTTTAATGCTAAAAACGTCTATCGTCATTAATCGATACCCGCAAACTGTCCGATCTAAATTCACTCACTGCCACAATTTCAATCGTCCTGCATATTTGCTCATATATTTAACGCAGCTTTCTGACCTAGAAACTAAAACCGAAATGGTTACACAATCATGCATGAAAATCACATATGCAAGTTTTAAGATGTTTTTTTTTCCGCCAGCATTAACATCGACATTAGTCTTCTGCAAAATGCGCGGATATTGGCTCACCAACAGTAGCGTTCATACACCGATATGTTAACATACCCGGATCACTTTGTAGAAACAAAATGAAAGAATTGGTCCTTCAAAGTCAAGGGAAATAAGACATTTAAAACAAAGATGAAAAGGGAAAAGATGAGTCCATTTTTAAAGCACTGAGATACGTGCCCATCGGATGGCACTACCAGCGCACAGTAAGAACAGCAGGAGCTACTGCTAGGTTACAAAGGCAGTTTTAATGCGAAGATCTCCAATAGGGGATTGACGTTACATTTTACTCGCAACGTAGTCTCGTTTGTCAAACATTTTTATTAAACTGGCTGAAATTATCCGGGTTTTTTTTTTGGGTCCTAAACAGAAAACCGCACAACCACGCAGTGCATCTCTCGGATGGAAAAGAAATCTTGCTGAAGAAAAAAATAAATAACGATGTATCACAAATGGGCTCCAACCAGCTTTGACAAATGCAGTAAAAACTAACGCGACACTTATCAGTCTACATAACGTGTGAAGTTTTTCCAAAGTTTTCCTTCATTAAATATTAATTGCCATATTATAGGGTTTCTATAGCATAGACAAGACAAACGTCGACCCACAAACGAAGTAGTTGTAAAAGATGCTAAGCGTTTTATTTCCCCCTATGTATTAAGTGAATCAATCGTACCTTTTCTGAAGACTATCTCCACCAGCTGATTCTAATCTATCCTCACAGTTTCAGACAGAAAACTCCATTGCTATTGCAACCGGAAAAAAAACGCATGTCCAGCCCCAAAGAACGAATTAAAATTCATTAGCCGGAGGGCAATAGAGACACATATGCATTCATTAAACCCTTCCATGTTTATCGTACAGAGAGAGCATCTTCAGCTCTACAGCGTTGCCGGTACAGCATCAGAAGACAACTGAAAACAAGAGATCACAGCTCCGTTACCTTTTCGTTGGTCCTCTTGTTCATACATCTCGTTTCCTCATTTAAAATATTGCAAAGATCCAATAAAAACAAATAAGCCAAAATAATGATTTGCCCCCCTTTCAGCCCACCCCCATGTTATTTACACAAGTGGTTCCTATAGTTATCCCTGGGAGTTATATCTCACATCGTTATTGCAACATCCGGGTGCTGGCTTCACAAGATGGATTTCATAGCAACTCCTGATGCAGTCAAAAAAAAAAGGGCGAAAGAAGTAAATCCCATCACAAAAGAAATTCCATTTACGTTCCTTTCAGTTTCCGTATCAGCAGCCGAAACATTATAAACCATCTTAGCCCGCTTTTAACCAATGAATTCAACGAATATATTGAAAAATTCGCAGACGAGGTCCTTAGAGGTCGGTCTTTAAAAGACTCTTATTTTGGACGTTGTGTTGCAGGTATGTCCGTGAATGCTCAGTTTGAGTGACGTTCAATGTTTTGCTTTAGTCTTTTTATGATACAGAATGTCAGAATTTTGGACAAGACCGAAAACTCGTATAAATCAATTTAGGCTACTATATAGTATATAAAAGAAACTAATGTGGTTTAAGTCCCTCAGAGGCTAGTTTGTTAACTTAAAAATACATGTCCCGCGCGGTGCTTTTTGTAGAATATAATTTTGGATAATGTAATGCTGGTACTCTATACAATAAGACTAATATCTTATAGGTTTAAGAATATCCTTTTTTAAGAAACACTGTAAATCCATTTACAGCTAGAGACATATAATTAAATAAATTCATGGTCAGACTCCTGGCAGACGACATATAATGCAGACAAGCACGCAGTGTTACACACAGGTAACAGAAACATAAGCTATAAATATAAAATGGGAAATACAGTACAAGAACATACAGTAAGAAAAATGGGGCCATTCACCTGATTTGGTTTCTCAGTTGCCAATTCATCTTCCAGACAATATAGAGAAGGAAGGAGACGTACAATATTGTAAATAATATTGTGTACAATTTTGATCATTATACCTCATAAAAAAACAATTGCTGCTCTTAATTCAGCCCAAGGAAAGTCCTAGACTCACAGGTTAAAAACCCCCAAATCTCTTTCATCTTAAATGCAGAAGACTACAAGGTCTCTGAGGAGTTTAACTGAAGGGTTGAAAATTCCCAAGGCCATCGACAAAGTCCACTCTTCTTCAGAATCAATACTCCGATATGAACTGCAGTAGAGGACAACTGAAAACTAAGTGGAAATGCATTTAAAACTTAGAATAGGAGGCATGGGAGTTTGGAACAAGCTACTCAGTCGAGCTGTTGAAGCTCAAGAAACAGCTGAATGAATTCAATTAGCTACTATCAACTAAACAAGCAAGACAGATCAAATAGCCATCTATCATTTGTAACCTTTCTTGTTCTTATGTTCTATAAATATGTATTAATTTCTCTGTCTCCTAGCTTGATAAATTCAGTATTACCCCGGGAGCATCCTTGTTAGGGTGACACTGTGGATAAAAGCATTGTATCTGATTTCACATGGCATGATCATATTACTGTTGTTAACAGGAATATTCTAGAGCAGTGGTTCCTGTCCCTCGTCCTGGGGGAACCACTCCGTTGGTTTTCATTCCAGTTGAGCTCTCCATCACCAGTATTCACTGATGCCTTTAATCGATCTGATTGCTTGTTTGCTTTTGGGTTGTTCAGTTTATTTGTTTCTGCGCTCAGTCCTGAGATTCAGAAATACTCTACTGTAGGTGTATTGTTTCCAGCAACCTCTGAACACCAAACCTTGAGCGTCTCTCGAAAATTTTCCGTACCCTTATTTCTGACGTAACAGCTGCTAATATGTGGTTAATTTATAATCTGGTAAGTTAAAAACAATGAATGAGAGTAGTTCTGAAATTTAGAGGTTGGTTACAAAATCCCATTTCATCTTAATTATAGGTCAGAATTTGTGCTTTTATTTCTATCATTCTTAATAATATTCCAAAACCCGATGACAGTAGCCTTTTGCAAAGCTTCCAAAAACTGAAATCATACAACAAAACCAAAGGTATTTAATGCTGTACTCCAATTGTCCTCAATAGTAGGAAGTCATTAATGTTGATTTTTTAGTGCCAAGGACTGTAATTTAACTACAGCAGTGCGCTTTTACTTTGGTAATCATAGTCCTGTGTCATAGCTTGCTGTAAAAGAGGCCTAGAATTACTTTGTTACTATGTCTGGCTCAAAAGTGTCTTACACATTTAAAACCAAATATTAAGCAATAATATAAAGGTCCTGGTACATTATTTTATTGTCAATTACAATTTAAAGGCAAGTTATATTATGTATGTTGGAATAAAGATGTATAAATGTCCAGCAAAACATTTTTTCACGACAGCGCAATAAAACTAAAACTAAATCTGTGATAATGACAAATATGAAAATGTACAAAATCTATACAAAACCGTTATTTTAAAATCAGATGTAATATTACCCCAGATTCTGCTACTGTTCTGTTATTATGACCTCTAATCAATGAAAACAGACACCATTAAACTTAACAGTATAAAACAGGATATCTCAGCATAATTCTATAACCTAGCAACAATGTAATGTGTGAATATATAGTCTTTCATACTTTATCTGATACTAAGGGAATATCGGAACAGAATATTTCAATTCCAGATGATGCATATTTTACATTATATTATTTTGGAAAACAATTTAAAACTGAACTCTAGATTCAATATTGAAAAGGGCAACAAGTACCTGTACATATCAGAAGCACATATAGGACATGACTTAAAGAAAACGAAAGAAAAATGGATAAAAGGAAATGGTCATACTGTGGCTTCTACCATACAAACAGTATAAAGTGACCATATCTGTTGCTTACCAGTATACTAATTCTCTCCCTTTAGACAAGTATTTCACTTATACATAATTATACGTTACCCAGAGAATACACTGTATCACAAGTAATTTTAAAATATTATATTAAAGTTAGTAAGCACCACTTCCAATATGAGTCAGACTTCTTTCATGTTGTTTCAAGTTAACACTCTAAACACAGACAATACAAATGCGATATAACAAAAACTTGAAATAAAGTAATAGCAGACATATTGCTGACTTAACATTACTGTCAAGCCAAACATGCAGAACCACCTCTTATCGCATTTTTCTTTCTGTCTCCCCAACATGCAGCTCCTGTGGCATCTGTTTTCTACAGTCCGATACCATTTAAACCCCAGAAAACCAGCGTAGCCTTACCTCACCGACTTGGAAGCTCGACAAATAAAGCCATTCATCTTCTCTCGTTTTGGGACATCCGCACAACTTCAGCTATACGTTTGTCACGCATTTCGTAGTGTAACCACAAAGTGAAATGGCACTGCTGGGTGGAAGGTTTCAGGATATTGGATTACCTGTCTGCAGCAGATAATTGTTTCTCAGAGATAATCCTTGAATTATTAATCCTTCTAATGTTCTTGAGGGAAGCAAGGAGTGTCGCAACTGACCTATTTCAGCCTTCGGCCAGATAGAACATTTGTTCTCACTTCTGTTTAATTGGCTATTTTACTCATTTTATGTTTAGTGTTGTCAGATTTTTTTCCCTCTTCTGATTGTTTGGATGTCACACAGTTTATTTTAATGCTGTATGTGCAGCACCGCTCCAAGGGAGAATGCCCTAGGTATGTGGGGATTCTAAGAACTGTCTTGAACAGATTAAACCAATTTAACCGGTGCCATTACAGTCTGGAAAGGGGAGTCATGATTGGCAATTTAAGGTTGAGAAATCTGGTCTGTGTCTATTTTAAACCTCAAAGACGCACACTTTGTAGAGTAGCAAGCAAAAAAAGACAGCCCCGCCTTCTACCATTCACAAAACAGGATAGTATCAACGCTAACTCCGCCTTACAAGCCTCGATAGGCTAATAGACAAATAATCTTATTAAAAATGTACAACGTGGGACTGGTTTAAACTGAGGCTTTTGTAAACGGGGACCTCTTGCGTTTTTTCTGTACTCTGTAATTGGATTTAGAGGCACTTTCATTCGAACCAGATAAATGCATGTTCTGCACACGTCTGTATTAAATTTAGTTTGTGGCCACCATCAGGTTTTATATTTTACACGTGTGTGTATAAATCCAGCATTATAGATTGAAGACAGCATAATGTAATAATTTTAAACAATTTAGATAACGGTAAAATATACAAACTTCTTTTAATGAAAATAAATAAATACATAAGAGTATAGTCCGCAATTAATTATTTGGAGTTTGTGACGTTGATTAGCTTAGTTCTGGTTGAAATGAGTGTTTTCAGTGGTATTAGGATTTCGATTTTTACTCGGTCGGATACTCATCTCTGTGTGTTTCTATAATGTTCCTAAAATATCATGATTAGCCTGATGAGAAAGAAAAATAAAACAGTACTAAAATCTTAAATCGGCTTTTACGATTGAATAGTGACCTAATAATCTTTTCCCCTTCCCTTCGAAAGTGAACTAAGCGGAACGAAAAAGCCCTTTGTTACAGTAGGAACGTTTATTTCTAGGACTGTTGTTGCCCTACGAGGAGGGAGTGTTCATAGAAATCCCTCCGTAGGATGCTCGTACTGGGGATTTAGAATCCAAGATGGAGGCTATCAGTAAAGTAGGACATGATATGAGTCTGGCAGCTTTAAAACAGAATGACCCTTATATTAATAGAATCATCGATGTAACCGGGCAGGTAGCACTCTATACCTTTAACTCCAAAGCAAACGAATGGGTAAGGTGTATTAAAATTTTTCGACATATAGTTTAGAAAGCGGCGAGTCTGAGGCTTGCTTCAGTGAAGTTTCTGTATGGAGCACATATTGAAACCAACTTTTATATTAACTGACATCTCTCCCTTCAGCGGAAATGTTTTTTTTTTTAATGAACGGTTTCGAATAAAGAGATTCTAAATCTAAAAAAAGGTGAATGAGTATCTTAAATGCTGATACGGATAGTCTTGTTAGTACATCTGGTGTTTGTAGATGGAATTCTTAAAATTGGCGTTGCATAATTTGTTAATTTAGACTGAACCAACAGGTGAAAAGGAGTTTGAAGTAAGATTTTAAGATTGTTTTCTTTTTGTATTATATTCCAGGAGAAAACCGACATTGAGGGTACCTTATTTGTGTACGCCAGGTAACGTATTCGAAGTCGGATACGAGTATCTCTTATATCTATGATCTCCTCCCCTATCCCAGAAAAAAAAAAACAATCAAGGTTCTGGTCACCAGTACACGTGTTTTGGTCAAGATTAGGCCTCAATATTTATGAATTTATTAAGAATCTTTTAAAATCTCAAACTATCTTATTAAAATATCTTATCAAAAAGCTGTCTCGTTCATAGTTTAATAGTCAAGAGTAGTTTGCGGTTTGGAAGTAATGGAAAAATTAACAATTCAGGTGTAAAGAGTAATAATTCTGGAAGGAGCTGTGAAGCACATAATACAATATATTCCCATCTGCAGAAAGAAACAGCTAGTATGAACACTTATTGAAACAGAGTAACGTATTTTGTATTCATTGCTTTAGATTCCAGAGCACTTAGGATTTACAGTTAGGCCACTGTTTTAAAATGTGTCCATCATGGATGTAAACCATATTGTCTTTTCCAGTATAATAATTAGTTTTTATCAGAAGCTACTGTTAAGACTGAAAATCTATTGGAGAGAAGAAGGTGTCAGTAACCAGTGCTGTAGACCAGTGAGTCAGAGACCACAGTTTTAAATTAAATCTGAAAGATAGGTCACAATTCACTTGGCACTGGATAGACATTTTGGCAATTTTAAGTCGTATTAGAACTATTTAACATTTTTAGAAGTATACATTTACAAGTCAAACCTTCAGATTTTAAGATTCACTTATGGCATAATGACTGCCAGTGTGATAAAAAATATCAATTTACACTGTTGAGAAATCTTAATCTCTCAATCTTTCACTGCAAAAACAGAATGCAACATGTAACTCGGTGAACGGTGGGCTTTGCATCATAGACTCAGTCAAGACATGGAAGGTACAGCCCACTAACTCTGAATTATTAAAAATGTTACTTCTGTAGAACACTTACTCCACTTAGCGCTCTTTATATGCAGAATAAATGCACTGGTTTTAATGTTGCTGAGCTCAAGTTTTCCCAAATTGAATTTTTCGTTTGTGTGAGTTACCAGGTTTTTAACAGGTGTTATTCCAGAATTTGAAAATGGTATTTTTTTTTAATTGTAGGTCAGCTTCTCCATATCATGGCTTTACGATAATGAACCGGCTGAACATGAAAAATCTTGTGGAGCCCATTAACAAAGACCTAGAGTTTCAGCTCCAGGACCCATTTCTTCTGTACAGAAATTCAAACTGTAAGTGCCCTCTTGTGCTGTTTCTAACTTTATCTCATACTAGGTCAAGAAGCAGTGGAGAGACCTGGGGGAGAGAGAGAGAGAGTCACAAATTTCTCTTTCTAGAATGTGAGTTGAAAAGGGAAAAAAAAATGCAGACAGATTTGTTGGAGAAGTTTTTGTAGTATAGAAGACTTTCTTTTTGGGAAAAGGGAAGGATTTGAAATGGACGTTCACGTGAATTAGCTGTAGACAGCACTGATGCGCCACAGGATTCTCGTTGGTGGCATTTGATCAAAAAGAGTTTTTAGGCTGCCATCATTAACTTTATTGCTAGCTGGAATGAGCGGCCTTCTTCATGTAGTTCATGGTACTTAGTTTCCAAATGATTTGCAAAGTTGGCTCCATGAGTAAGTTAGAAAGCGCCCCACAGTGTGCATTAGAACACATTAGCACTCTTATTAAGGATAATGCTAGCCCCTGGGAAATGTGGATTCACTTCCTTAGCACTTGAGCACAAGCTGTCTTAATGAAGTGCAGTGTTGTCTCCAGGGGCCAACTGCACAATACAGCAGAAATCCGT